AGCTGTTGACATTTTTGAATAAAACTATCAATTATCTCATTTCCAGATGTCCAAGTGCTGAAAAGGCTCTGTAAGTGCAGACCAATACACTTTTCACAATATTTATCAGAGTATCTTTCTGCTTTACAATTATTGCATTTTCTTGGTTCACCATATTTATGAATTACTTCCTTTAATTCACATCATAAATAAACCTTTCTCTACAAAATTCTTTTTCATTTCTAAACAGTTTTTTGCATTCTTTGACTAATTGTAAAAATAACCTTTCCTATTTCTCTGTCAGAATTAGTTGGAAAGCAGATGGAGCAATACCGTTCATTTCGTTATAAATTTTTTATACTAAATTTCTTCTGTCTGGTGTTAATAACTTAACAAAGGACATTTTAATATTTAATAAATAATAATGGTATTTTTTATTTCTTTTTGTGGTAATCATAAGAATTTCTTTGCATGCAGTATCTCGAATTCTTTAATTTCTCCTACATAAAAATATTTGATTGAATATAGTATAAATGAGTGCACCAGGCTGGAATAAAAACAAAAAAAGTAATTCTATTAGAAATGGATGATAAATGAAGCGGAAAACTTTTAATGTTTTTTAATGTTATTGTTAAGATTGTTTGGCTTTGTTGTTAATCCTCTTATTCTCGATACCGAAAACATTTTAAATAATTTCGTAAATTCCTACTTTTGTCTTTACCGCATCCTAGTTTGTATTATAAAAAGATCGGCTATTGTTTTAAAAATTGTAAATCGTTACTAATTTTAAAAAATAATAAATTTCAAATTCCAAAAAGTTTTTTTGCAAAAAAAAAATTTTTTACAATTATAATAATAAAATAAAATAAAATAATAGACAAAAATAATAAAAGTTAATAATAATAATAATAATAAAAACAATAAATCTTTATATTCAAAGAATTAAGAGAATCAATATAATAGTAATAATAATAATAAATAATAATAATAATAGTAATAGTAATAATAGTAATAAAATCATAGTAATAATAATAATAATAATAAAAATAATAAAAGAAGAGTCTAATTATTTCCAACCTTCCCATGCCACCTCATACTGTTCTCCCATATACCATGCCCTTTAAGACCACTAATACCAAAAACATTACAACTTCTACAGCGAACAATAATAATAACGGAACATCACAAATGAACAATAATAATAATAATAATAAAACCACATCCTCGCCTTCTACTACTACATCTACATCTATAACTCGTACATCTTCTACTTCTCCCCCTCCTTCTTCTTCCATAAAATTGAATCCGAGACAAAGAAGAGCTACTTCTACAGCTTCATATGTTTTTGCACCTAGTTGGTTAACGAATAAATCAGGTTCTTCCTCTCCCTCTACAATCTTAAGTCCTGCTTATTCCTCTTCTTCTGAAGGGAAATCTACAAAAGAGGAAGCTAATAATAATAAAGGGTCGATGGTGGGAAGATCTTTAAAAAAAGATGGGCTTAGTAACCATAACAGCCATAATAATAATGATAGTAAGCAGCAGCAGGGTAAGGATGGGCTAGGGAAAGGTATTTATTATTATGTGTAATATAATAATTTATTATTAATTAGATTCCTTTTATAATAATAATAATAATAATAATAATAATAACAACAACAACAATAATAATAATAATAATAATAATATTTATAAATTATGTAGATGGTAGTAGTAGCTCTTCTTCATTAGACAATTTAACAAAATCATCATTATCAAATAATGGTAATTTACCATTAACATCTACTATTAGATCAAAGACAAGAGAATTCACAGGATCAGCAGCACCTCGTACTTCAAATCTTGAAGAATCGACAGGATCATTTAATGAGGTTCGTTTAAATAAATAAACAAATGTTTATTTTTAATAATAATAATAACAATAAATATTTATTTTTTTTTAGTCAATTAGCAAAAATCATCATCAAAACCACCGCACACACTCACGTTCACGTACAATCTCCCAACCAACTAATTCCCTAATATCGAGTTCATCGTCGTCATCAACAAAATTTGAACGTGAATTTGTAAGTTTGAATGAATTTTTTTTTTAAATTTTTTTAAATTATTTATTATCTAAATATTTAAATATCATAACATGAATTAATTGAAAATAAATTTTTAGCCAACGCTAGCAAAAAAGAAGCCTTCATTATCTATTGATTTATCCTCAAAAAACGTTGAAAATTTGTGGGGTAATTTTAATTCCTTAATAATAATTACAATGAATCTTTTTTCAAGATTAAAAATAAATTTTAAAATAATATAATAATAATTATTATTGTTAATAAATTAGGTGTAAAATCCAAGCTTCTTTCACCAACCTCATCATCATCGTCATCACAATTATATAATGATAATAATAATCCATCATTACTAACGCAACAATCATCATCACCATCACAACCATCACATATACAATCACCCTCATCATCAATGATGAGACGTAAGACTATCAGATCTTTATCAATGGATAGTGGAGGAACTCGACCCATTAACAATAATACAAATTTTAATTTTGGTGTAGGGGTTGGTATTTCATCAAATAGTCGTGTTGGTCAACAATCTCAATCACAGCAACAGCAACATTTTAAACAATACATTAGGGAAGCTACAAATTCAAGATCAACAAGCAGCAATAATGCTAATAATTATAATAATAATGGCCATTATTCAAGACCAAGATCAATCTCTACTTCATCAAATGTCATAAAAAAACCTTTATCAGGTAGTCAACGTAATAGTGTTAATGGTGGTGGCGGTGGCAATTTATTATTACGTAGACTGAGCAATTTTGGTAATAATAATAACAGTATGAATGGGTTTGGCGTGGGCAGCATGGGCAATAATAGTGGAAATAATAATAGTAGTAATAATGTTGGAAGTATTAGTGGTATTTCCAATGGTAAATTTTTGTGGAGTAATAATTCAATGGGTAGAATGGGACAATTTAAAATAGAATTGGACAATGAAGATAATTTACCAGGTCGTACCAAAGAAATTTTAAACCCGTTGAATGGATGTGACAATATTGAGGAGGTGGATGAAGTAGAAGATAGTGAGGATGAAGATGAACATCAAGAAGAAGGCGAGGAATTTAAGAACAATATTAATGTTAATGGTGATAATGACCAGTATAAGAAAAAATATAGCTTTAGTTATAGCGATAGCAACAAACAAAAAGACAATAAATCAAAATTTTTTTCGCATTCACAATCAATCGATAATGATTATAACAGTGACAAAAACAATAATCATAGCAGTAATGAACAATATTATGATTATTACTGTGATGGTGATGATCTCAATTCTGAATCATTGATCTCATCACTTGAACGCGAAGAGAATTTCCTAAGACAATTAGGATGGAAAAAAATCAACGAAAATGAACTCGGAATAAACAATAACAACAATAATGATGGCAATAATAACTATATTATTAATAACTATAAAAACAAGAATGATTTGGTTATTACTGATGAGGAAAAAAGAGGGTTTATTAGATTAGTTAAAGCTTTAAATGGTGTTCCTGCTAATAAAACAACCTCATCATCGTCACCATCATCATCGAAATTGTCATTTTCGTTAAGTGCAACTAATAAAAATGGTTATCATAATGATGACGACGACGTTGAAACATTGTCTAGTGATGAGATTAATTTTGCTAAAGAGAGATGGGCAGCTGCTATAACTGCTGCTAAAAAAAGAAAAAACGGTAATATTAACAATAACAATTTGATTATGAAGTCAACATTGACGCCTACAACTACAAGAAACAATATTATTACTAATATTACTAACAATATTACTAACAATAATAATAATATTTATTACTGATGCTAATATTTCTATTACGGTTGCTGCTGCTACTATCGTTATCATTATTATTATTATTATTATTATTATTATTAATTATATTATTATTATTAAGACAATGAATTAGTATAGAATTTTTAATTCTTTGTTATGTATATATTATATCTTTATCATCAAATCATCATCATCTTACAATCTTATTAATAACATCATCATCATAAATCTTACATTTTACATTTTAAATTTTAATTAACAACATCATCATTTAAAAAAAAAAAACAATTTTTTTCAAAATTCATTTATCTAACAAAACATTTACAAAAAAAAATTTTTTTATCATTTATTATTTATATTTTTAAATCAATCAATCAATTAATCTTTAAAAAATATTTATTATGATTTTTTTTTTATTTATTAGTATTATTATTATATTATTTATTCTTTGGTTTATATTTTACTATATTATTATATATATATATTATTATTAGTATTATTATTATTATTACTATTATTATTATTATTATTACCATTATTATTATATTTTTTCTTTTGATTAAATACAAAAAAATTTTTTTTAACAAAAGAGCAAACTCTTTTTAGTGTGTAAGTGTATAAAGTGTATAATAAAAATATACAAAAGTTGATAAAAAATTTATATACATATTACTAAAAAAATTATTAAAAGATTTTATAATTCTAATTTATAATAATAGAGAATTACAATGAAGAAAAGAAAATCAAGATAATTTTTTTTACCTTTTTTATTCTTTTCATCTAAATAATAAATAAATAAATCTTTCAAAGGGGAATAAAAATTTAAAGTTTTGATAAATAATTTATTGGTACATCAATTTCAATACTTAAAAGCATTTGTGCAAAAGTTTTCCCTTGTTTATCAATTTGTAAAGAACTTAAACCTCCGCCACCTAAATCATCACATAAAAAAGTAAATTATCTATATGATTTTTATATTAAAGAAATGTAAATTACTTTTACCTAGACTTTTAGTTAAAACAAAATTTAAACCATGGCATCCAGGCAATTCATATCTTTTGACAATTCCTTTACACATATGTGTCATGTAATCTTTCACTACCTTTTTAAAAAAATATATTAAAATAATTGCTTATAATATCTTTTTTTTTTTAAAGAATACTTACTTGTTCTGTTAATGATTTTTTTAAAATTGGATAAAATTTTGGATTTCTTGCTAAAATACCTAGAAATGGTTTTTTTTTTGTTTAGAAAAAAATTTTATAAAATAAAAGTTTTTAGCTATATGAAGGAAATTACCTATATTACAGGTATCACCTTTATCACCACTTCTTCCCCATGCCAACTTTATTAATGGAACTTTAACCAATTTATTATTGTTATCACTATTACCATCATCAATTTCTGACGATGACGATGATGGCTGTGGTGGTGGTATAACACTTTGATTGTTGGTAGGAGCGTTGAATAAAATAGTTGTTTTGGTTGGATTATTATTGTTGCTGCCAATAATAATGTATGCTGGAACGGAATTCTTTGAAATAAGACATGAAAAATGAACAAGACACGGCGAAGGATGTGGACGTCCAGATCCGACACCTATTAATTATTATACAGGAAATGATGATGAGAAGGAGGATAGATAGGGGTAATAAAAATTTATAACATATTTTCATTAGAATTATCAGCCAATTAAATAATTGATTGATTGATTGATTGATTGATTGATTGATTGATTACCAGTTATGCCCGGTGCCATACAAGTGGCAGCCTGGAAATATAAAGAATTTCTTTTCAATAAAACAAAATGTATTGTATAAATTTCATTCGTTCGTTACGTTACATACAGGTGCAAGCTCCATTCCAAATATTTTCAATGCTTTTGGGTTATCATGATGAACTGTTATATTCAATACAACCTCACGTGTATTACGGGTTCTTGCATTATGACTTTTAAAGAAATATAAAATGAGTTATTTCACACTTACAAATCTAAAGTCTTGAAAGCGAAAAAACTTATTTACCCATAAGTATGTTCAGCTCCTAATACTTCAACATTAAAGTTGCGGAAATCATCCAATTTGGCTTTAATCAATAGATTTCTTGTTTTAGATATTATCGCATGACCAACAGCTTTTGCCTATTGAAATCAAAAAAAAAATTATTTAAATCATTTTTTTAAAAAAATATCTAAAAAAGCATTATAATAAATGCCTTTTTCCATGCATCAATTCCACCTATAACCAACATTCCATTCATTTTATAACCATCGACGTAAACTCCCGAAACTTTTAAATCTTCTGTCGGTGGTCTTCCTTTAGCACCAGTCACCAACACCCTGTCAGTACCAACTTGTTTCAATTCCACGTTCCTTAGATCCAAAACCACATCCGGTAAAATATACGCACCCGGATCTAAAATTTCATAAAGCATCTGTTCACCAACTGTAGCTGTTGTCACAAGTCCACCAGTTTCTTTAGGTTTTGTTACTACAAATTCACCATTCTCATAGCATTCAACTATCGGATACCCAATATTTATCCATCCACGGTTAGTCGAAAACGCACTTTGTTCCCAATCAGTAAAATTTCCACCGGTTGCTTGACATCCACATTCTATAATATGTCCAGCTAATGACCCAGATGCAAGCTTATCCCATTCTGTGTTGGTGTCCCATCTAAATTCATGTATTAAAGCTCCAACCGCCAGTGCACTATCAACACATCGACCTGTTATAACAATCGTTGCACCCAAATCAAGTGCCTTAGCAATTGGAATAGCACCAAGGTATGCGTTAAGAGATATAACCTCTTTTTTATCGTCAGGGTAAAAGTCTGCATCTTTATCATTACCAGCAATATGTGTGAACCTTTTTACTTCTCCTCTTTCTATTATATTTTTTTTATATTGTGTTAAAATATCATCACCGGTAATAGCCGCTACTCGCACCTTCTCATTATCCTCAATGCCAAACTCTTCTTTCAACAATTTCTCTATTGCGTTCTTACATGCCAATGGATCCAATCCTCCAGCATTTGTAATGATCTTTATATTATTTTTCATTAGATCAGGCAAAAGTGGTTTGAGAACATATGCAATAAATTCAGCAATATATCCACCCTCGCCAGCACCACCTAATCCTTTTGAAAGTGACTGATTACGACGTCTAGCCAAGATCCCCATAGTAACTTCTATTAATTAAAAACGCAATGTGTTTTTTGTCGTCTTGTGATTAATATTGCTAGCATTTATTATAATCAATGAATGAATAAATAATCATATCCAAAAGCAATGTACATTTACCGGCTAAATAATCAGCAATCAAATAATTTAAATTTGAACCTTCCTTTTTAACTAGTTGTTCTGCTCCAGAGGTTGAATCACCCCAAAAAGCGCTACAAAAAATTAAATAAGTAAATAGATATCATAAAAAGGAAAAGTTTTATCGAAATTAAAGTAATCAATTTATTAAACTATTTATATTTTTTTTAAAAAAAATAACCTGTAACAGCCTATGCGAACAGGTCCCATTTTTTTTACAAAAAAAAAAAAATGATGTAAAAATTAAGACATTACACAAACAAATAAATTACAAATAAATAGATAGGCTTTTTTCATTTTTTCATTTTTAATATTAAAATAACTTTAAAAAACTAAAAACATGCAAACTCTATTATTCGAAGAATCAAACAACAAAAAAAATAATTCATACAGTAATTACAAATCAGAAAATGTACTAGAAGAAGAGGAAGAAGAGGAAAATTCAAAAGAAGACGTTGTATCTATTCACACAGATTCTGATTACTCTTTACCAAGTGAAGGCGAAGAAGACTTTGTTGCTACTAATGGCGGTAATAATAATAATAATAATAATAACATCAATAATAAACAGAAAGTAAAATCAAATGCAACTAGATCTGAGAAAGTCGAACCTGAATTATCGTCAAATCTTTCCACTGCAGCCACCATAAATAAAACTACCACTAACATTTCTAATGCTAATATTAAAAATAATAATACTAATACTAACAAAGGTATTCATAATCAAGTAGATTCTACACCAGCTTCTACACCTTCTAGAATAAATAAAACAAACAAAAATCCGACATCTACAACAAATAATAATAATAATAACGCTACTACCACTATTACTAATACAACAAATAATATAGCTTCTTCACCGAAATCAACTTCATTATCAACTTCAATTAATAACAACAATAATAATTCTAATACTACCACCACTACTAATAACACCACCACCACTACCACCACCACTACAAATCCAAACCCTATTAAAAAGAAAGTTATTAATACAAATACTGGTGGTGGCATTTCTCCACATTCGAGAAATTACGAAAGACCGATTAGAGAGGAGCCTATTATTCAACATTCACATTTAGATGATCGTAGTAGCAGCAGTAGTAATAGTAGTAGAGATCGTATTTACGACAGAGATATTCATCATGAATGGACACCAAGACATCGTGTGATGCCATATCGAAATCATGAACTTGAGAGAGATTATGAACGTGATCGACTATACATGAAAGGTCTGGACGATAAACTTCCGCCACCTTTTTCGCATCCATTACCACCGCCGCCGCCACCACCACCTCATCATCATCATCATATTCATCATCATCATCCACCTCATCATCATCTAGATATACCACGCAGATTTGTTGATAGAATTTCTTCAATTGATTATGATAGGGGAAATGGCAGAGGGGGAAATGCTAATATTGCGATTGGGATTAGTGGTGGTAATGGTAGTTTAGAAACTGGCAATCGAGCTCCAAATAATAGTAATAATAATAGTATTATTAGTAATTGTAATGATAGCATGTCACCTAATGGAACAGGAGGTGGAGGTGGCAGAATTAATAATAATGACGGTGGTAAAATATCAACAAGACAACGATCATTAGATGCCACCAAAAAAGATGATCATTTATTACTACCGCGTGATCGAGATCAACAACATCAGCGAGAACGGGACTGGGATGCAAAAATATCGCCATCATTACCAACACCGCCTCCATCATCAATTCATCATGATTTTAATACACGAGACCATGATCATCGATTTAATAGTGGTAACAATACTAATAATAATAATGCTAATAATGTTAATACTAATAGTAGACAACAACGTGATGACCTACAAAGGCCTTTACCACTTCCTCCACCTCCACGTGAAATGTTAAAAGATCGTGGTGGTGGTTTTGTCAGAGGAAGTGGTGGTAGCGGAGGTGATCCACGAGATATGATTTCTTGTTTTAGAAAATTTGATGACCGAACACATCCTATGGCGATGAACCGTAGTCCCGACTATTATCATGGCCCAATGACTGATCGATCTATGAGAGATTTAGGCGGTAAGGATCGTGGTAGTGATCTTCATTATTATAACAGTAATAGAAACTTGCAACAAGATAGGCCAAGAATCGAATCTATAAGAAGAGAAGAAAGATTACCAATAGGATTAGGAGGCGGTGGAGGTGCTGGTGGTGCTAGCAGCAATAATAGCAATAGCAATAGTAATAGTAATAGCAATAGTAATGCTAGTGGTGGTAATTGCAATAATAGTACTGGAAATGGGAACAATAACAACAATAATCAAAATAATAATAATAATGACAATAATGGTAATAATGGAATTGGAGGAAGTAATAATAGTAGTGTTCATGGTAAGAATAAGATAACAAAGATTATTATTGATGAGAATAATTATCAAATGTTATTAATAAACAAAGATATGGAAACAGATACTAATTCTTCTAATATTCAATATAATGCCAACGCCACCATTGATAATAATAACTATAATAATGATAATGATAACGATTTGGGAATTTACCAAACTTCTCAAAATGACAATGACAATGACAATGACAATAACAATAACAATAATAATAATATAGGTACTAGAGAATATAACCAACAACAGCAATATAATAAACAGCACCAGGATCGAAATTATCAACATAATACACCTAACTATCCATCATCACAAAAACAACAACAATCACCACCATCTTTTATCAACAAAAAAGAAGAACCTCCTTTACCATATCCCTGGAAACGATGTATATCCAGTAAAAATAAGGCTTACTTCTTCAATACCGAAACTCGTGAAAGTCAATGGACCTTTCCATCTGAAGATAAAAAGAATGTCAATAACAGTAATAATAATAATAATAATAATAATAATAATGCAAATACTAATAATAGCGGTAATGATGGCCGTCAAAATAATATAGGCGGAGGTAATCAAAATGAAAATAATAATAACCTAAATTCAGGTATAAACAATAATCATAGAGATCGTGATGTTGATAATGATGAAACGCCAAGTAAAAGGGCAAAGTTGGATGATAATGAGACTAAAGGAGGAAGATTACAAAAACAAGAACTTCACAATAACGAAAATTCAAAGAAACTTGATAACGACACAAGAAGATTAATTAACAATAATATTGTTAGCAATAATAAAGAAATTAGGCCCAATAGAAAAAATAATGTTCCTATCGGCAAATCGTCATCATCATCAGCTATTAATAATCATGAGAATAATAGTAACAATTATAATAATAATAGTAGCAAAAATACCAACAGAAGTAGCAGCTATAACAACAATAACAATAACAACAACAACGATAGAGATTCGTCGCCATTTTTACTTGAAGAAGTTAATGATCTTTCACATATGATAGAAGTAGGTTCTGAAGAGGAAGAAGATAATGATGATAAATTACCGGAACTTGTTGGTGTTATTGGTCAAATATATTATCGAGGTTTTGCATTGAGTGTTCTTAATAAAAAAGCTGAAGATGGTTATGAGGTACATTGACATTAAAAAAACCAAGACAATGTTTTTATTATATTATATAAATATATATATATTCAACAATTTTTTAATATATAATCTTATCAAATTTTCTTTTTTCGTGGTTCCACAACGCCTATATTTATTCACCTATATACCTATGGTTACATTTATATGTATATAGCGAGCAGATTCAACTGAATGGATTGATTGAGAATGAAGGATTAATTATAGTTATTTACTTTCAACTTGACAACAACTACCACTATTCAAATAACAATATCACTACCACAATTAACAGTAGCAAAATTCAAAATAACCACATGAACAACATTGATGCGCTTTTGTTTCTTATTGTAATTAAGTGCTATTATTATTGTAATCATAATTATTTAGTTTAGGAAAAATTTATACATATTAAATATTCAAGAAAGTTTTGTATTTACAACATATGGATTTAATCAAAATTTTGGGAAAAGACTTCATTTCAAATTAAAGATTAATCCATTTCACATTAGCGCCTTTATTTTAGGAAATTTTGGTAACTCAGTTTTATTACATCTACATCTATACAATTTATATCAATAATTAATTATACAATTCACAATCACAACCACAACCGCAACCACACTTGCAACTGTATATTTTTTATAATATTATTATTATGCAATATAAAAAAACATTAACATTATTTTTTAAAAAAAAATTCCTGCATCAACTTTCATAAATATTTAATTGACAAGTGAATTCAGTATAATTTATCAAAATGATGGATATGTAGACAAGAAAAGATTTTATTGGTAAAAAAAAAATTTTTTCAATCAATCGAGAGAAAATGGAAGAAATGGAAATTTACATTCAAAAATTGGAGAAACATCATGACTATAGCAATTATAATTACTAAAATATTATTAATATTATTAGTATTGCTACATTATCCAACCGTTTGATGGAATCTTTAATGAGTAATCAGTTATGATTCAAAAAAAAATTATTACGTTGATTCCGAGCTTTTATTCTTTGCCAATCTGTCTATTGAGGTAAGATAATGGAGACATTTTGTGAATTCAATGGAGGATTACTTAAGTTTTTAAGTATAGTAAAAATGATGATGGAGGAGGCATCAATGGTTGTAGATATGCTGTTGTTAATATTGGTATCCAGTTGTTTTTCGAAAAGCTTTTTAAGTCTGATACTTTAAAGTTTTTTTTCAAAAATTTTATTTATTTATTTAATACTTCCCACTCGTAAAAAAAACAGTTCTTAAAATTTATTAAAAAATAAAGAAACAACTCTAATTGCTTCTTCGTCATATCATTAAATGCATTTTAAATGTATTAAATGCACCAAATGAGCGACTGCAATTTTGGAGCGGGAGGTAAATAATGTCAAAACCACCCATAATAAAACTTAATATTACACAACAACGATGATAAATTATAAATTAAAGATCGTCAAAGAAAGAAACTTTGACATCGACACAAAATTTTAGTAGGAGAATTTTTAATAGTGGTTTTTCCAAATAATTGTAGTAAGTTGTCACCACTGTAAAAAATACTACTGTTACATACGCTTCAAAAAGTGCCTTGGTTGGATGCTCTTTTTTTATGCTCTTTAGGATGGTTTTAACAATAAGCTCCTTATTCTTCTTAGTTGCAATAAGCATCTAGAACCTTATTGCTGCTACAATACATTAATTGCTATCATCTAGATTTTTCTGTGCCTTTTGTAGAAGCTTAGATAACTAAATCTATAATGGTCATAACCTAACGCATATTTCGCTGTCTTTCACTTTCAAATCTTATTTTTTCATGACTATCTTTGCCGCCGTCAATAATTACAATTGGGTTTAGCAATATTTTCATCGTTACCACTGTCATTAATGTTGTGTGATTATGATGACAAATTAACAGAAGAATAAATATGCTGTTTGGTTAATGGATGTTTGGTTAATCGACGGTTATTGGAATATTGACTAGAGTGGATGGTGTGGAGTTGAAAAACCAGTCAAGGCCAACAGTAAGATTTGATTGTGCAATAGATAACCTTTCAGGATAAATCAAATTTTAACTTAAAAAAAAATGCAATAAAATTGGTATAATTAATTTAATAAATTAATAGAATTTTTATTATAGGCGAGGCAAGTTCTAACTGATTCAATAGAAACTTATAATAGACCTTATATCTCATCAATTATGAGGAAGTTTAGATGAAACAATTAGGCAATGTCACTTGAAGATTTTGAGTATAAAACTTATCAAAAAAATTATAGGTGATCATTCCTAGTCAATTCATTTCTTTCTCCTTAGTACCTCTTTATTCTACTTACTAATACTAAATAATAATATTTATTATTTAGAATATCCAGAAAGAAAAAAGATTATTGAAATTATACAGACTATAATAAGAATCATAATCGATTATTTTATATTTTATTTTGTAAATTTAAAATTAGGCTTAATCAATCTAGATCAATTAAACCAATGTTTAATCTGCGTGACTTTTGTCCTGGCAGTGTATGTGTTTCGTTTTTCTAGTAATAGATAAACAAAAATAATCAAGGTTAAAACTACTTGTAAAATATAACCAATGAATAATATTGCAATAATATTCATCTGATTAAACTTATTTCCGGTTCATACTTTAGAAATAATAATAAGAAATAAATAAATAAAAACAAAAATAAATTAAATAATAAGTATAAAAGACAATGAAAAATAATTAATAAATGGTGAAAAATAATTATCTACCCATCAACAATTCACTCAACTCTCGGACTTTTCAAAATTTTAAACCTCATTTCAACTACTTATTATTATTAATTAATAAATAATCCTATTTAAATTAATAAATTTCAATTTTATATTTCATTAATATCAAGGTCACTTAATAAACTATCATTGCTTTTGAAGTTCAATTTGGCAAATTCATCATTTAATATTCTACTTGTATGGCATGCTAATGGATGTGACTTGTGGATTTGTTGTGAATTACTGTTATTACTATTCTTATTATTACTACTACTATTATTATCACCACTACCACCACCACTGCTGCTAGTTTCATTAAAATTTTTTGTTTTATAAATTTCATCTAGTTGATTATCACAAAAATCCCAAAGCTCTCTGGCAGTTGGTCTTTTAGACGGATCCACATCCCAGCATTTCTGCATCATTTGTATAAAATCATCAGGCATTTCTGGTAGTATTGGTGGACGTAAACCTTCACATATTCTTAATTGTAAATGAAAATCATGTGCTTTATCATCAAATGGTGGATGTCCTGCAAATATTTCCCACATTAACATCCCAACACTATAAATATCTGATCCTTTTGTGTATTTCGCATTACTTTTGCCATGAAGTAGCTCTGGTGCAATATAAGGTAAAATTCCATAAAGTTTATTTGATGACTTTTCATCAACTGGTCCACATAATCCAAAATCTGTGATATAGCAACTACCTCCTTGCAACAATATATTACCACTATGTAAATCACAATGAATTAAATCTTTTTGATGTATACGATATAATGCATTACATAAATTTCTAAAAATACTAATTCTATTTTTTAATCTTAAATTTGAATGATTTTTTTGTATATAATCTCTTAAATTTCCCTCTGAATGATAATTAAGCACTATTGCATAATTTCCATTTCCTGGGAATTTAGTTATACCATAACATTTAACAATTAAACTTGCTTTAATTTTACAATAATTCAGTGCCTGAAATTAATAATTAATTATATAAATAAAATTAATTAATTTAAAATAAATGGTTTAATTTAAATAAGAACAATTACCTCATCAAAAAAAGGTTTCCCTGGATTACTTGAATTATTTAATGATTTTAATACAACATCCTGATCTCCAAAATAACTAAACTCCTTTTTATTTTCATCATAATCATCAATACTTCCTCGTGTCCACTCAGCAGTATAAATAGAACTGAATCCACCTTCTGTTAACTTTTCTATATTATAAAATTGCTCATAAGGTATCCATTCTATAATATGCTTTGGAAGAGATGAAAGCTGTTGACACTTTTGAATAAAACCATCAATTATCTCATTCCCAGATGTCCAAGTACTGAAGAGGCTCTGTAAGTGTAGACTAATACACTCTTCACAATATTCATCAGAGTATCTTGTTGTCTCACACTTATTGCATTCTCTTGGTTCACTCCATTTATAAGTTGCCTTCTCTAATTCAAAATTATAAATAAACCTTTCTCTACAAAATTCCTTTTCATTTTCTAATAGTACTTTGTTTTCTTTGACTAATTGTAAAAAATAACTTTCATAATTTTCAAGGTCAGAAGCAGTTGGAAAAGCAGGATAAGCAATACTAAGCATTTTATTATAAATTTTACGTGCTAATTCTCTTCTGTCTTGTGTTAATAACTTTTCAAAGGACATTTTAACTTTTAATGTTTATTTTTTTAAATAATTTTGTATACTTTGTTTGACACAAATTTCTTTTGTGATATTTTGACAATCCGTCTATAAATGAGTCTCGAGGTTACAACTTACTGCGCTCTGAGAATAAAAATTACACGGTTACGTGATTTACGGTAAGCTATCAGGTCACGTGACTACAAACGATCATTCCATAAACGGGAAAAATAGGCAATAATAATATTAATGTGTATATAAATATAATATACACACGAGAGTTTTATTCCTATATTACCACTACCACTACCGTCTCATTCTTGTTCTACTGCTATTTTTACTGCTACTGCTACTACTGCTTTTAATGTGCCATTATACATCTGATGCCATTACATTAGAGAAAGTTAAATCTTTCAAAGAAATGTTCTATTTATGAATTGTAATATTGTTACCGGGATTAGATTTTGACGCAGACCTTTGGTCGAATCTCTTAATTCCGGGACAATTTAAATTTTATTTCTATTTTTTTATTTTTTTATTTTTTTATTTTTATTATTATTTAATCTATTCTTATTTCATTATTTTTATTTTTATTAATTCTATTTATCCATAATTATTTATTATCATCTGAATTCGTGTTACGTTTCGCGTATTATTATTATTATTATTATTATTATTAATCAATCCGTAGCACATTCATATTTATTTAGTAGTAGTAGAGATTAATGACGATTATCCCGGAACGGGCAGAATCGCCCAGGTACAAAGTGAGTGAATTCGCGCAATCTGAGCGAAAACGCGCAATTTGGGCTAATATGT